ACAGGGTCTGCCCTCCCCAGAATTCAGATCACCAGGGCCCAGACGGTGCAGGCGTGCTGCAAAGCCATAGCTGGGGAAGGAGTCGCTCCCGGTCCAATCGCAGAGGGGGTGCTTTCTGGAATGGGCTGAAGAGAGAACATAGTTCTTGGCTGGGCTGGGTCAGCGGGAGAGCACAGGGCTTCCTTTTCAGCTCCAGCCCATTATCCTCCTTGACAAGTCCAAGTGCTGCAACTAGGTGCTGTTCCCACCTCCTTCTGATGAAGCACCAAGTGCAAACAGAGCCTTGGGAGCAGCCTGCCAGGCCCTAACAAGCTGCTATTTTTATCTCCCTCGACTTTGAAGACTCACAGCCAAGCCCAGCAACGCCGGCAGGTCTGCTCCCTCCCCTTCCAAGACTCCTCAGGGCTGAGAAGCATTCCTTTTCTGCCTCCCGCACCTCTCGCTGACAATCCACTGCTCCTCCCTTGACCCAAGGCACACAGTCCTGACAGCTGCCATGAAAGTTCAGGATCTGGTTTCCATTAGCACACGGTGCATTTGTCAAACAGGATGCCAAAGCCATGGCCTGATGCAGGGAGAGAGGAGGGGGGAGGAAGAGAGAGGGCTGTGACAAGGAAGGAAGAGCTCCCAGATTCCAGGACCTCTAGTTTCTGATGTCTCCTGTTCTACAGATATGCAAATGGAGGCCCAGGATGAAGTCCTGCGATTTCACAAAATAACCTTTCTACCCAAAGAAACTGGCACCAAAGAAGCACATCCTCCCCACAGGCCACCTAGGGAGAGGAGCAGACGTGCAGCCTGTCACAAAGCCAGCGGACCGCCCACAGGCAGGGAAACCACGCTGGCTGCTCAAGAAAGGGAAAGGAGCTAACGTCTGCCCTGAGCTGTGGAAGGCTAGCTTTTCTCGGCAGGAGAGGGAACAAAGATCACGGGTGAAAGGAGACAGGCCAGGCGGAGCTCTGGGCATTCGGAAATAGGAGCGGGAAAGGGTTTCTAGTGGGGTCACTGTTCATGGTGACCCCGGCTCTCTCTCTCTCTCTCTCTCTCTGAAAGCCATTCTGAGAGTGCAGGCCATACGGACTCAGGCAGCAGGGCCGGGGTGGCCTGGGAGCAGCTTGCCCCGTGCTGCCAGACGGAACTGCTGGATAATCCTGTGATCCCACCCCAACAGTCTTTCTAACAACCAACCCAGTGTTAGTAATACTTGCCAGGGAAGAACTTGGGTCTTTAAGCCTGCTAGCCTTTCAGCATCTATCCCTTCTCCCCGTCACAAACCCCTCTTTTTCTTTTTTTTTTTTTTTTTTTAGACAGGCAGAGTGGACAGTGAGAGAGAGAGAGAGAGAGAAAGGTCTTCCTTTTCCGTTGGTTCACCCCCCATTGCAATGGCTGCTGTGGCCAGCGCACCGCACCGATCCAAAGCCAGGAGCCAGGTGCTTCTCCTGGTCTCCCATGCGGGTGCAGGGCCCAAGCACCTGGGCCATCCTCCACTGCACTCCCAGACCACAGCAGAGAGCTGGACTGGAAAAGGAGCAACCGGGATAGAATCTGGCGCCCCGATCGGGACAAGAACCCGGGGTGCCAGCGCCACAGGCAGAGATCAGCCTATTGAGCCACGGCAGAGATCAGCCTATTGAGCCATGGCGCCGGCCACAAACCCCTCTTTTTCACTGGAAGGAGCTCCTCCTCCAACCTCAAGTAGCCCTGTGGATGACCCCACCCAACCCCCGCCAGTGCTGGTGTGCAGCCCAAGGTGGCCACCAAACTACACTGGACCCCTAAGTACAGTGACAGGTGGGCCCAGGAGCAGATACTCCAAGCAGGGCCAACCAGCAGTTGGAGCACTGATTTTTAAAAAGAAATATGTATTTATTTATTTGAAAGGCAGAGTGACAGAGTGCTGGTTCATTCCCCAAATGGCCGCAATAGCCGGAGCTGGCGCAGGATGAAGTCAGGAGCCAGGAGCTCCATTCAGGTCTTCCATGTGGGTGTCAGGGCCCAAGCTCATGGGTTATCTTCCATTGCTCTTCCCAGGGACATAAGCAGGGAGCTGGATCAGAAGTGGAGCAGCTGGGTCTTGAACCAATGCCCATATGGGATGCCAGCAACCCAGGTAGTGGATTTACCTGCTACACCACAGCGTTGGCCCTGGAAAACTGATCTAGAAGAGGGGAGTTCTTTCTCTGGGACTGGGGGTGCCAAGGACTAGATGTACCTGGGGCTTCTGAGGTCCAGCCTGGCCCCAGTGAAGCCCACACAAGAATGAGCAAAGCCACAGGGCTGGCATTGTGGTGCAGTGGTTAAGCAACCACCTGTGATGCTGGCATCCCAGTGGGCACCAGTTCAAGTCCCGGCTGCTCCACTTCCGATCCAGCTCCCAGCTTATGTGCCTGGGAAAGCAACAGAAGATGGCCCAAGTGCTTGGACTCCTGACATCCACATGGAAGACCTGGATGGAGTTCCTGGATCCTGGTTTCGGTTTGGACGAGCCCCAGCCATGGTGGCCATTTGCAGAGTGAACCAGCAGATGGAAGATCAATCTCTCTCTTTCTCTGTACTCTGCCTTTTAAATAAGTAAATAAATCCTATTTTATGGACACAACAGGCATGCAAGAGAGCTGGCCAATGGACAAGCAAGGCAGTGGGCCCCACCAGGAGTGGTACCCGGCAGCAGTAGAAAGATACCTGAACTAGCTGGAAGAACTGTACCTAAATGGCACCTGCAAACACTACGCTTCCCCTGAGCACCACGATTGCACTTCCTCTCCCTTCCTTGCCGGCTTGGTGACACTACCGTATTGCTAGAAATGGTCGCGTCAGAGCGAGGAGACCCTGAGAACATGTGTGAAGGGGCCTGCAGGGAATGCTGTGCAAAAGCAAAGCACCGTCCCCAGAACAACCTGGGACCTAAGTTCTTTCTGTGAACCAGTTCTACTCAGTGCAGGACATGGATCTAGAAACCCCTTCCGCCCTAATCATCCAATGCCTTGCACGCTAAATGAGGGAGCAGAGCGCCAGCCTGTGCCCAGCGCTGGGTGGGAGAAGGCATGCTGTGCTACCTGTGCGGTGCTGCACCAGGCACGGCCAGCGGGGCCCCGGGCGTGACTAAGCTTAGCTGGCCACGAGGCTCCACAGCAGCACAGTGGTGCTGGCTATGGCGGGCAGCTGCTTTTCTGCTTGAGTGTGTGGTCCAGCTCTTCAACGACTCTCTGAGCTCCTTGGGGTCCCTTGCGTGAGCAAGTCTGGCTGGCTTAGTCCAAGCCAGGCTGTGTCTGTCACTGCACACCACAGAAACCTCCACACGCCCACCAGCCACACAGCAGCAAGCAGAACCTGCGTGCTGGGCCGTTCTCTGCAGTTTCCTGAGGCTTACACAGGTAAACAAACCCGCGGGTACGAAGCAAGCAGTATGGCCAAGACTTGGATCCCAGACTTTGTCATTGGGAAACACTGGAATAAACGGGTCACAGTATCTTTTGGCTCCCTCCAGCAAGAGATGAAGTCTTCCCTCTTCCTTTGCGATCCTGACTTGACCATGGGATTTGCTCTGGCCAACAGGATGCTAACAAACCGAATGGCTGAGAAGTGTGAGGGTGCTTGAGGGTTGGAGTTTACCCACATTCGCTACCGGGAGGCCCAAGGTGAGCAGGGGAAGCCTGGGCGTTAGACTCAGGGCATGAGTAATCACGTCAACCCACAAGGTGGTAGAAAGTCCAAACCATCTGTGTTTTAAAATACCAGCTTTCAGCGTGCCTTGTTCCATAGCAAAGAGTAATTGACATAATCACTCAGGGGCCAGTGTTGTGGCCCAGTGGCTTAAGCCAATGCTTGGGGTACCTGCATCGCATACTGGACCACTGGTTCAAGTCCTGATTGCTTCACTTCTGATCCAGCTCCCTGCTAATGCACCTGAGAAGGGTCTGCCACCCACCTGGAAGACCTGGATGGAATTTCAGGCTCCAGGCTTCAGCATGGACCAGCTTGGGCAGTTGCAGCCATTTAGGGAGTGAACTAGTGAACCAAAGATATCTCTTTCTCTTTCTCTCTTTCTTTCCCTCCCTCTCTCCCTCCCTCCCTCTCTTTCTAGCCCTCTCTCTCTCTCTCCCTCCCTCCCCTGCCCACCATCACTCTTTCAAAAAAATAAAACCTTTTAAAAAAAGAAATCATTAGGCTATCTCCAGCAAACAAATAAGAATAAAAATCTGAGGCAGATAAAAAGGCTCTTTACTCTTTTCCATGTTTCCTCAATGACAGAACGACAAGAAATAGAGTTTAAATTTCATTGGCAAAGACTATACTTAGACCAGAGGCAGATCCTACTGGCATGGAAGCCAGAAGCAGACGCAGGGAGACTGGCCGTCTCCCGTGCACACCCTAACACAGATTTCTAGGAATCATCTGCTCGCTGGGTGAGGCTCAGGAGCCCGCAGTGCACGCTACCACTCCACAGCTCGTTACTCGCCCGGGCTTCCATAGGAGACCAGCCAACAGCACAGGTCTGAGGCTGAGCAGTGAGGCTGGGCCAGCCCAGGCAGGTGCTGCTTCCTGGGACAGAGTCCTTCTTCCCCTCCCTGACTGACACCCAAACATCTAAGCAGGGAGCCGTCCGGCTCACAGAGCCACTCCTCATGCCACAAGACAGTTACCTGCTGAAGCCAGAAAAGCTCTGGGAGGACGGGATGGCCCGGGCAGAGGGGAAGGCTAGCTGCTGCTTCCAGGGCTAAGCGGAAACCTTCCTCTCTTGGGAATGGAGATAAAGTCCGAGAGGGCCACTGAATAGCACAGGACACGGACTGTGGCAGGCACTCGGCTGAGAAACACAAGTGTATCCAGACCAAGAGGGTGGGGCTCACTGCCCCAGCCTTCACACTGGACGAGGACTTGTAATAAAGACTGAAAGCACGCCGAAAGGCTTTTCCACCAAAACCAAACACAAGAGAGGACGCAGCAAACTCTGGACTTCAGCCAAATTCAAACGTAACAAATTCAAACATAACGCTTACCTCTGTGCATGATCTTGTGCTTCTCCCTCAGATACGTCAGGCCCTTGATCACCTGCGGGGAAGACAGCGTAGGAGCAGGGGGGCGCACACGCAGCGCTCGGGAACGCGCCCCATCTGCTTCCAAACGGGCTAGGAAATACTCCGGCCACTGTCACAATTCTGCCTTCTGTTTTTTATTTCATTTTTTTTGTTTGTTTTCTTAACCTGCCTTATGAAGCAACCATCTTTTTATACAGTTTATAGAGAATATTTTTAGGAAAATCAATTACTGTAAGCTTTATCAATTTCTAAAACCACTGCCTAGGAATGCATGTTTGTCTCAATCTGTGATCTGAAACAGCAGCCTGCTTTCACCTAAGTGGGAATCCCTTTGGATACCTCTGTCCTATTTTTTCTGACATAGATTTTAATGCGAAGAAATTCACTTTTCTTATTCTCACAAAAGAGAGAATATTATATATGCAGACTCTACAGAGGGAAAATTCTCATGATAAAATCTCATTTCTCTTAAAAAACTTCCTGCCTTCTTCCCTTGTACATTTCCCACCAATTCATTAACTTATGAAGAGGGAACTTGGAAGGAAAACTCCACAACATACTCACAGCAATGCTAACTTTCCCCAAAATTTGCTCGGGAATCCGTCCAGCTTTCTTCAGGACTTGATCCAAGGAACCCCCGTCCTAAGAACAAGAGGAGGAGACCATTGAGTGACGACGGCGCCAATTCTCCTTCCAAGTGTCAAACTGCAGGAGGAAAGGCAGTCTCACAAGCCTCCGGGAACGTGAAGGGCTCACCCTTGGCTCCGCTCCAGACATCAAATGTGACGTGTGTGCAAGACACTGCAGGAGGCGAGCAACTCAAACCCTACAGACATCGTTACACAAGTCACTAAGTCAGTGGTCAGGAAAAAGGTTTGTGCACTGGGTGTCACGGCACAGAGGGTTAAGTGGCTGCTTGGGACACCCACGTCCCATCTCTGACTTCCAGTTCCAGTCCCAGCTACTCTGCACTTCAGACCCAGCCTCCTGCTGATGGGTCTGAAAAGCAGATGAGGGCCCACAGACTCGGCTCCCTGCCGCCCAGATGGATGTCCCTGGCTCCTGGCTTTGGCCTGGCCCAGTCCTGTTGCAGGCATTTGGGGAGTGATCTCTCAAACTCTCCTTTTTTCTGTCTTTCAAATATAAATAGTAAACATTTTTAAAAGGCTTGCTCTGCACTGAACTCACATGGTCGAGTGTGCAGGCTCTAGAGGTAAACTCTGTAAATCTGAATCCCAGCTCTGCCACTTTCTATCCAGGAGGCCCTGACCAAGTCACCCAACTGATAAATGAGGATGATGACAATTCTAAGGCTATTATAATATTCAGGGCTGTTATAAGGATTAAATAAGCTAATACAAATAAATAAAGCACCTAGAAAAATGTGTTGCACAGAGTGAGTGCTCAATAACTGTTAGCCATTTTATCGCTACCATGTAAGTCACAACTTCTATTTGGTGTTATCCCAACAAATCGAAATTAACAAAACCCAAAGAGAAATAGCATGAAAAGCAATACTATAGCCCACAAAACCCACCAAACACCATGGATTGTCAGGTTTGCTGGGGGCCAGATATGTGAATAAGAGCCGGGTTCTGCTCTCAATAAACATATTAACTAATAAAACAAAGGCAGAAACACGAAAGAAAAGAGCCGTGGACATGCAGAGTAAGGGAGGGATAATTCTAGCTTCACCTAGGAGGATACAATTTGAACTAAAATCTCCCTCAAAGAATGAGCTTGACCTCTACACTTGGGAAGGGAAGGAGCAAGAGAACAGGTCGGGGCTCCTCAGTCAAACCAAAGGCAGAGAGCCGGCGCCATGGCTCAATAGGCTAATCCTCCACCTTGCGGCGCCGGCAAACCGGGTTCTAGTCCCGGTTGGGGCGCCGGATTCTGTCCCGGTTGCCCCTCTTCCAGGCCAGCTCTCTGCTATGGCCAGGGAGTGCAGTGGAGGATGGCCCAGGTGCTTGGGCCCTGCACCCCATGGGAGACCAGGAAAAAGCACCTGGCTCCTGGCTCCTGCCAGGATCAGCGCGGTGCGCCGGCTGCAGCGGCGGCCATTGGAGGGTGAACCAGTGGCAAAGGAAGACCTTTCTCTCTCTGTCTCTCTCTCTCACTGTCCACTCTGCCTGTCAAAAAAAAAAAAAAAAAAAAAAAAAAAAAAAAAAAAAAAAAAACAAAGGCAGAGCTGCTCTAAGCTGCCCCTGGGGCGAGGCGGCCCGGCCCTGTGAGTGCATGAAGAGCTGCAGTGGTGAGGGGTCAGGCTGGCAAGGGCCAGCTGTGGCCACAGCCTCAGCCAGGAACCAGGACCTGGCTATGTGGAAGCACAAGGAATGCAACCTGGGCGTTATTTCAGACAAGCCCCGCAGCAGCAGAGAAAGAGGGGCAGGGCTGGCAAGGAGATGACCGAAGCTAACGAGCGGACGGGACCACAGAAGAAAGGATGCAGGTGTGCTGTGAAGCCAGACTCTGGGGCGCACGTTCAGGGACTCTACATATGAGCCTGAGAGTGAGAAGAAATACTGCACTCAGAGAAGCCTAGTGCATCAAAGCAGGAGCAAGGGCAAGCCTCACCAGCAGCTTACATCACCCTCAGAGGCAGGTAACTCCAGCAAACTCAAACTGATTTTCCAAGTACTCTGTCTACGTACCTAAGCAGTTACCATCATCACCTGTCACTTATCCAACACCTGTGCACAAAGCATAGGGACGTGGAAGGATGAGGGGTAGAAAAATTCTCTAAGACACAGATAAAACACACTCCTGCATTCAAAGGCACGACACTGGAAATCCTCCTCGGAAACCAGGCAGTCAACAAACAGCTGAACGAGGAGAACAGATGAAGCTGTGGACAAAATGGCAGGGAAGAGACTCCAAACTGGAGTGACATGCAAGCTGAGCCGTGAGGCGGGCGAAATCCAGAGCAGAGAGAAGTCCCCTCAGACACCAGTCTCCACATGCAGCCATCGGGTGGACATGACAGACAAAAGGACAGGGCATGAGCCCACCGCTATGAAGATTAAACAGCGCGTGTACACTCACAGAGCAAAATCAAAACACGTGAAGGCGGGTTACTTCTGGTCTAGACAGAACCATCAGGGATTTCTGCTGCATGAAACTTCCTTCTTTCCCTTCCTCCTGTTCAGATTATCTACTACAGAGTACATGTCTCACACTTCTAAACTACTGAACTCATCTATGAGAGCGCAGAATGCCATCTATGAATTAATTAGTAGGCCCTGAGCACCCAGCTTGTGCCAAGGCATTGTTAGGTAGACACAAAACCACTTTCTTTCTAGAGAAGGACTCACATCAAGGTTATGCTCTCCCGAGCGCCATGACCTCCAGCAATGCCAGAAGCAGGTTACCAACTTTTAAAAACATTCCACGTTTATAAAAAGAACAGTGTGGACCAATCGATTTCTGTGACACTCCACTTAAGGGAAGAGAACCAGCACAGCTGTGGGTTCCCCAAGGCAGGGAAGTCTCCACCAGCACGCGAGCTCCCCTGCCTCAGCGGGGCTTCCAGACATCACAAACTCCCTGGCACGACCACCTGATGGGCAGGAGGCAACCAAGGCCCACAGCAGACTCTGTTCCTCAACCTAGCCTTTCGCATGTGGCGCAGATAACCGAGAGGAGTCACGGGGCTAGAACCAGACAGAACTCCCTGTGACAGCTACTTTCCAGAGTTCCTGGGGGAGACTTGGCCCAGGCTAGCAGCCAGGCTGAGCCCTGAGCACTCAAACCAATGCCGTGTTCCTGGCTGCCTTAACAACATGACAGCCCCTGTGGCCACTTCGGGACCAAACCACGGCCCAGGCCACCACACCTGAGCCTGCAGCTCCTAGACATGCCACAGCACCCCAGCATGTCCTTCATCCATGGGAAGAGGGACTTTGTTCCAAGACACTGCCCCAGTGGAATATGGCTGCAGCTGCTCGGTTTGCACAGCTTTGCCTCATCACCAGGGAAGACTACAGACCTAGAAGAGAACAAAGCCACTCTGTCCAAATCAGCTTCAGAGAAGGTGGAAAAGCCAACCCTGTGGTTTTCAGGTCACTTCCTCCACTTCAGCAATGAATTTCACTCGGGCTGACCCAGGCAGACCCCTGGCTGCTGGGCAGAGCACAGGCAGCTAGCGGTCTTGCTTTTCACTTTCCCTGAGTAGGCCCCGTAAACATTTCTACTGAAGAGGAAGAAGCGTTGGCCCTCTTCCCTCACCCTCCTCCTGAGCTCTGAGCAGACTGACAATTGAAGGGGCACGAGGGGAGGGGCCAGCGCCAATCAGCACTGCCCCAAGTCCCCTGCAGCAAACCCTACAGCCCTTTCATGCTGCTTCGGGAACCTGCCAAGAACTCGCTGTCACCAACTACAGCTGCCGAAAGTGTGCTTATTTTTAGAAGCCAATTATTAACAAAGTCCGTGGTACTTCTGTGAAGGTTTTCTATGGAAGAGACAAAGGCTTGATGAAAATAACAGCTCAAAAGCTTTTATTCCCGCTGCGTGAGAAGCATCAACTCTGAGTCCCGGGCCCCGCCTGCTCAGACCCCGGGGGGGCGGGAACCGACTTCTCCGAGGATGGAAGTGTTCCTGCCCTGATGAGGGAGCACCCACTTCCCCAGAGTCACCACATTCACTGGGCACTGCAAACACAGCTTATTTCTAGGAAAGGCCAGGGCTCAGTGAGCACTCGTGACAGATCTACTTTAAAATGCATCCCTCTAAAAGGACCAGAGCAGGAGCTGTTGCTGTGACGTAGCAGGAAAGCCACAACCTGAAGCACGGACATCCCACAGGAGCTCCAGTTTGAGTCCCAGCTGCTCCAATTCTGACCCAGTTCCTTGGTAAGGTACCTGGGGGAGCAACGGGAGATGGCCCAAGTACTCCCTGCGCCACGTGGGAGACCCAGATGAAGCTCCCACCTTCTGGCTTCAGCCTGACCCAGCCTTGGCCTTTACGGCCATTTGCAGAGTGAACCAGTGGATGGAAGATCTCTCTCCCTCTCTCTCTGTGTCTGCCTATCCCTCTCTGTAACTCTGCCTTTCAAACAAATAAATCTTTCAGACAAAGAAAAGAAGAAAACGACTAGAGCAATGCATGGACAATATGTGGTCGGGTAAATACAACACAGCGCAGACTCCAGGTGGTGGGTTTATAGGTAGACACTACATACTTCCTTCGGCCTTCTGTGCACTTGAAAATGTTCACAATAAAGTGCTGGATAAGACAGAGCTGGCACTGAACACCCAGCGAAGGCTGTGACACAGAGCAGACCACAGCACCAGAGGAGTGAGCTGTGGAACAGAGCGCTCTGCAGAACACCACCTGCCAGTGCTGACGCCAAAGCGAGCAGCAAACCCGAGAACAGCGGCAGGCAGCGGCCAGGGAGTTCTCCCACCAGGGACAGCCGGTGCAGGCACACAGGGAACAGAGCAGGGGTCAGAGCACCCAGGGATGGAACAGAAGGCCACTCACAGGCCACAACTGCTTCCACCACTGTCCCATCTGGCCCCTACGGCAGCTGGGAGCCTCTCCAATCACATTAACAGACTGTTCCAGCCGCCCCCATGACCCAGATACACTGAGACAGAGGCCCTACCACTGGCCCTAAGACACGACTCTCTCACTGGGCTCCAGGCTAATCAGGCCTTCCCCCATCCTAGCCACTGTCACCCAGTCAACACCCCCGCCCCCTGCACCCCTCAAGCCACCAGCTGCTGCAGTGTGCTCCCTGCCTCTGGCGGCCAGTTCTCCAGGTTCAGGCTCCCCAGGGCAACTCCAGAGAGGCCTTCTGCTTCGGGGATTGTGTGGGAGCATCTCCTCCCAAAGAGCCAAATCCATGGGAAAGACACTGACCTGCAGCGACAGGAAACTGGCCAAGACTATGGAAAAGCAGCCCTGTCCTGCCCAATGTCACCTTGTCCTAGCGAGGAAGGCTTGGGGGAACAGGGGACATGGCAAAGCTGAACAGATGTACCCAAGGCTAAGAATGCAGACTGAAGAAGCATTCCAGAACGGAAACCCCCTCAGGAGCTCACAACAGGTCAGTGTGAGACAACTGGGAGCACACTGCTCTATTCCAGTGGGGTCTCACCGAAGGAACAGACCACGGTCAACACTGAGCAGACTGACGCCTCGTGCTCAGTAGCTCTTAGGTCCACACTCACAGCCCTCACTCAGCAGCCTGGCAGGTGCTGGAACACAGCCATGCAGCCCATGAAAAGCTCTGGGGGCAGAGACGCTGCTCCTCCCAGGGTTTCTCCACACACCACCCGGCCCCCCCAAGTCCTGTCCCCGGTAGTTCATGGGGCACTTCACACGGCCTGTGGACTAAAAACAAGTATTTGTGAAGCCAGACCCACGTGGATGAGAGACCTGGCTGGCCACAAGTGCCGAAAACCCTAGAACCACGGGATGTGAACTCCAGGAGGGATCCTGGACATACACTTGGCAAACGTCAGTTTATCACGATCCGTATTAACACTGTTACTGTCCCTGCTGAAGAGGAAGGGACTCCAGGACGGCAGGTCACGTCCGTGTAACCTGCCTACAAGGTCAGTTCCTCCCCACATGTGCATCAGGTGGGATTATGTCTCTCCACACGGAAAGAAACCCCACAGGCTGTCCTTCAAGTGGATTATACATACTCTGCAAGGGGCAGGGGTTGTGGCGCAGCAGGTTAAGTCTCTGTTTGCAACGCCAACATCCCTTATCGGAGCTCTGGTTCCACTCCTGGCTGCTCACTTCCAATCCAGTTCTCTGGATTCTGCTTGGGGAGCAGCAGAAGACAGCCAAGCAATTTGGGTCCTTACCACCCACATGGGAGACCTGGATGGAGTTCTTGGCTCCTGAGGAGTGAACCAGTGGACGAACGATTCTCTCTCTCTCTCTCTGCTTTTCGAATCAATAAATCTTAAATAGAAAAAGTTCTCTGAAGATAAGGGCTGTTTCACTCATCTTCATAACCCCAGGACCTTGTACCTAGCACACAGCACTACATGAACTACATTGTAACCAGATTTTACCCACGTCATAATCTGAGAATCCTCTGCAGAGGAAAACACAGGGAGACATGCACTAAGCGCAGCCCCGGGGATACCCCTTTGCAGGAAGGCAGGGACCCAGGAAAAAGTCTGTCCTCTGGTGAATATTCAAGTCTGCCCCAGGCTGCCTGATGCCCCCAGACAGCAGCTGGCCACTGCTCTGCAGGCCACATACCATGTGCTCCATGCAGATGCTGATCTCGCCATCGCTGTAGAATGCCCCGTAGAAGCCCACGATGTACGGGGAGTTGCACTCGTGCAGAACCTGCAGCTCCCTTATGATCTGGTTCCGGATAGCAGGTTTGATCTCCAGGTGAATAAGCTGGGGAAAGAAAATTGGGAAGAAGAAGAAGAAATGGGTGGATGCATGGGTACAGGGGAATGAACCATCTTTCTTAAGCATTTACTCCTGTTTAAGAGAGGGGAGGAGAAACAGACCAAGTTTTCACAAACAAATTTCTGCTCAAAGTACTGAGTGTCAACATATCAAGGCAGGTGCTGTCACCGTGGCTGCGCCTCTGCTCCTGGGAGCCACGCTCATGGTCAACAGCAGCTGGGAGGATTAACCCAAAGGGACCAGTGGAGCTGAGAGGGAAGAGAAAACTGGCCCTGAGGATGTGGTTGCCATTCACGGGCTGTGAGGGCAGGAGGGCTGGAGGAAGTAGGGGGCGTTCTCTTAAGCTGCCCCGCAGATTCCCCCTTGAACTCAGGGGCCTGGTGTGGCTGAAATTCACCAAAGACCTCAGATGCTACGTATGTCTCCAAACACTGCCCCCTGTTCCAGCTGGAGGGAAGTGACAGACACATCAAATGGTTACCTAGCAACATTCAGACTGGACAAAGTGCCAGGGACAATGAGGTCAGAGGAGAGGAGCAGTGCTATCGGCGTGGGCTGGAGCAGCCGGAAAAGAAGACAGAAGGTAGTCGTGGAAGATGGGTGGGCAGTGCTTACAGAGACAAGGAACAGCACAGGCAGAAACCAGAAGGCGTGTGCTGCGGAAGACATGGGCGAGCCCAACCCCTTGGGAGCAGGAAGAGGAGCGCCAGGGGCAGACAGGAGGGGACGTCCAGCTTGAGGACTGACGCCATGGTGGGGGGCTCAGACACTGCACTGCAGGGAGAGTGAGAGGAGCCGCTGGCAAGGACAACTGGAACTCAGTGTTGTGTGTGTCACTGGGGCCAAGAGACTCAAAGCAGCTTCTCTGGTGCTAGATAAATGACCAGCAGGCCCCCCGGCATCCTTTCCTGGGCACACAGACAGCTAATGAAGGGTCACCTACTTCCGAGACCGAGTTATGGCAATTAATACACTCACACACTTTAGCCTGCTTATCCATAATCTGACAGATAACAGGAGTTCGAAATTCATGCACAAAGTTACTGAGTGAGAAGGCTTGCTTCCGGCCCCCGGTTCGTCCAGGTGATGGTTTCATGACCTGTTGGTTGAGACAAACTCACCTTTCTGGCCATGACCAGGCCGGACGGCTTGTGGGAGACCTTGAACACCACGCCGCCGTTGCCGGCTCCCAGCTCACTGATCTTCTCGAAGTCATCGTCCTTCAGCTCTCCCACTTTCTGCTTCTGGGTGAGGAAGGCCTCCAGGCGCTTCCGCTGCTGCTCGTCAAGCTCCAGCTCCTCCAGCTTCTTCTGCAAGGCCTCCAGGTTGGTCCTGCCCCAAGAAGGTGACACAGCCCAGCGTCAGCGCCAGTGCCAGTGAAACCAGCTCAGGAGGCCGCCCCACCATGGAGAGGCCCAGAGAAGGCCTCTGCCCCACGATTCACCCCAACACACCTACCCTGGGTGTGGAATGAAGGAACTACTACAAATCCATGAGAGAAACCACAGATTCTACAAACTCCAGAATGAGCCTCTTTAATCTGTTTTAGAAGTCCCATTTATACGGTTGGTTTTATTAGTAAGGCTTTACCATACATAAAGTAAAATTCCCCAGATCACTGAACTAAAACCAAACCAGCTATAAACTGAATCACAACTGCAAAAACTTCATTTCCAATGTGACCGAGTCCAGGAGCCGGGCTAATCAAGAAAGCCCGAGTAAGGAATCATACAAATGGTATCCCCGTGAGAACGGTAGCTAGGGGAGGCCCAAGCACCATCAGATGGAAGCCACCTGTGCCTGTGCTCCACTACACAGTGGGTATAGTCACAGTAACGCAGCACATACCGAACACAGAACTGGGGACAGGAGCTGGCAGGCTCCACAGGCAAGGCAGACGGGAAGCCCAGCTGCCTGGACTGACCGGTTTATGCTGTGCACACGTGTTCTGGTATTGCACTGTGCCCCATAAAAATGCATTCCGAGTATCCTCAGCTGGCGTTGTGACAGCACAGGTTAGCCACTGCTTTTACACCTGCACCTCACAGCAGAGTGCCTGGTCCAAGTCTTGACTACTCCAATCCCCAGCCGCTTCCTGCTAACGCACACGTCCTTGGAGGCAGCAAACGATGACCCGGTATCTGCATCTCTACAGTCCATGTTGAAGACCCAAATGGAGTTCCTGGCTCCTGCTCTGGCCTGGCTCAGTCTTGCCTCTTGTGGGTATTTAGAGAGTAAATCAGCAGATGGAAGATTGATCTCTCTCTCTCTCTCTCACTATGCTTTCCAAATAAAATTTTAAAAAAAAAATCTTAATTAAAAAAGAAGTATTATATTTAACAAAAATTTTAAAAGACTTTATTTTTTAAAAATGCTTCAAATTTTTATTTTTGCATAACTCATATAAACATGCATCCATTCACTCAATCTTTAACCCAGGGCAAGGCTCCTTGAATAAGAGCCCACTGGCAAGAGTTCCGCATCATCTTCCTGTTTTCAAAGATTCATTTTATTTATTTGAAAGGCAGAATGATGGGAGGGAGGAGGAGGCCAGACAGGGAGGAAGATCTTCCATCTCTGATCTACTCCCCAAATGCCTCCAATAGCCAGGTGTGGGCCATGCCGAAGCCAGGAGCCTGGAACTCTATCCAGCTCTCCCATGTGGACAGCAGGGGCCCAAATACCTGTGCGATCGTCCTCTGCCTTCCCAGGCACATAAGCAAGGAGCTGGATAGGAAGCAGAGCACCCAGTGCTCAAACCCACACTCCAATGTGGGATACCAGCGTTGGGTGTCAGAAGCCGGGGCTTAACCCTCAGCAGCACAATGCCAGCCCCACCTTTCTTACATAACCAGAGCAGGATACATTGTTTATGATTCCCAGCTCCTAGTCTTGATCATGGACTAACAATGCAGACCCTCACGGAACAATCACAATATAAAGTTAGAGCTTCATGATTCCCCTGAGCTTTATGCCCCTCTAACCTGACAGCATTCTTATGATTTCACTGACTGATTCTTGCCACAGTTTGTAACCAGAGTGCACAGGGGGACAGGGAGAAAATGCCTTCATTTGCAGTCACATCTCATCAATCTGACATGTACAACAGCAGCTACTGTGGTGTGATGGGTTTGGGAAAGAGCTGGCTCTTGGTAAGTGCATTGATTTGGCGATGGGTCCAGCATGCCGTGGGCACCATTCGGGAGTGAGGGGGGCTGTAGAGGAGGGGGTGGTAAAGAGCTCCACTCCAGTTCATTTTATTTCATACCCCAGTCTACACAGATGACACAAGTGACACGGTGACAAGACAGGCCTTCATTACACATGAGAAGGCAGCGCCCCACACCCTGCTCCTGAGCAGAAGGGCAGAGGAAGCACAGTCACTCGCTCTATGCCACAGCCTAGGAGGGCGGGGGCCAGGAGACGGCAGGTCCCTCCACATGGGAGCACTAACAGTGACTTACAAATGACAGTGCTCGGGGCCCAAGAGGACACGAGGCTGACGGCCTGGGTTTTCCTCACTGGGAGATCTTGGGGGGAGGAAGCTGGTGCTGCAGACGAACGTGCCCCCTCAAAATTCAAATGCTGGGGAGCAGCACTGTGGTGTAGCGGGTAAGCCTACCACCTGTGACAGTCATCCCATTTTGCGCCTGTTCAAGCCCCAGCTGCTCCACTTCCGATCTAGCTCCCTGTTCATGGTCTGGGAAAGCAGTGGAAGATGGCCCAAGAAGAAGCTCCTGGCTCCAGCCTGGCCTAACCCTGGTCGTTGGGCCATTTGAGGAGTGAACCAGCAAATAGAAGGACCCCCCCGCCCCAAGCTCTGCCTTTCAAATAAATAAAATAAATCTTAAAATTCCAATGAAGAAGCCCTAAACACAGATGGGACTCTCCAGACAAAAGAAGGAGAAGAGATCCCGAGAGGGTCCTAGCCAGACAGGAGTGGCAGCCCTGTGACACGAGGAAGACATCCTTAGAAGGCAGCCATCCATCTGTGGTTTCAGGCGCCCAGTCGATGGTGTTCTGCCAGGGCAGCCGCGCACACTGAGGCAGCTGCTCAGGGTCCGTCCACCTTCTTGAAAGGATCACCCAGTGGCTGGTTCCTCAGGTCAGTAGGCCGTCGTGCATTTGGGAGTGCACAGTGTACCCCTGCAGGTTCTGCCAGGTGTTTGCAGAAACACCCGGCAAATGCCAGTAGGCTCCCTGGGCACTAACTCACCTAATCTACTTCCCGTCCGGAGAAGAGGCACGCAAACTGGGGCGCACACAGGTGGAGTGCACCATCTGGGGCCACAGGGCCAGCAGTCAAATAATCTCTAACTTTAACCTTGCTGCTCTCTTTCTCTCTTCAAAAAGTGCAATGATAGGGCCAGCATGGTAGCACCACTATGCATGTTAAGCCACCACCTGCAATGCCAGCATTCCATATGGGCACTGGTACAAATCCTGGTTGCTCCACTTCCTAACAAGCTCCCTGCTGATGCACCTGGAAAAGCAGCAGCAGCAGATGGCCCAAATGCTTGGGCCCCTGCACCCATGTTTGGCAAGAAGGATTATGCTAATTCTGCCCTTCCTGCTCAGCTAAATGAAGCTCTTGCTCCTGGCTTCAGCCTGGCCCAGCCCCAGCCTTTACAGCCATCTGGGGAGTGAACCAGTAGGTAGAAGATCTTTCTCTCTCTCGGTTTCTCCCCCACCCCCTCTCTGTAACTCTGCCTTTCAAATAAGTTAAATAAATCTTAAAATAAATAAATAAATAAAAAGGCCATGCTCTGAAGGAAGGGACTGACAAACACGGGTCAGCTGCTGGCAACGTGGAGGCAGTAACCCACCAAGGCCGGGCCACACACAGCAACAGTGCACCTGACACCTGGCGGCCTCCTGTCTCCCACATACGAGAGCCAGCCGAGTGTCCCCTGGGGCAGAGCAGCACTGCCCACAGCCAATACTGGCCACAGGGAATGCCATGCATTTAGCCAGGAAGAGAGAACACCTTCCCACCTCCCTGCAGAAATAAGACATTCTCATACCTTCAGGAAGAAAAACTACCCCTCCCTGCACCCCCCCCCCCGACTCCCTGTGCTCTTGTCTCACTGCTACACCTCCGCTAGGGAACTGGCATTCAGGAGTCCTGGATTCTTGCCCTGAGCTGGTCAGCAGCAGCCTTGCGCTGGGGAGAGGTCCCTTAACCCTGTCACATCTCAGACTTCTCATCTGTGAGAGGGAGTAACGACCCCATGTTTACAAGGGGAGGGTCAAAACAGAAAACTAATGGGAGACACACAACACTGGCATGGGTGGGGTGGGAAGAGCCCCGGCAGCACCAGCAGGGTGCAGAAAAGACTGCCTTTAATTTAATGATTTGCAAAATACTCGAAAGCTTTTTAGAAATGCTTTTCAGCGAAGGAAAAACAGTGAGGTGAAATGAAGAAAATGGCATCAAGATGGCTTTGAGCTCTCATCAAAAAGCGATCAATAACATCAGTAATGCAACCGTGGTCAGTACTGCTCCTCCCAGAGCCGCAGTCACCCCGGCAGCCCTGTCAAAAACTGCCGAAGCTCCGAGGGCACCGTCTTCAGCTTTAACTGGGTGCTCGGGCATCGCAATACATCTCCAACACACACAGAGCTCGCTCCCCGGAACCCCTGGGGCGTTCACCAGGCAGAGCTCGCTGTAACATGGATTTTGCACGGGGCTGGCTGACAGTAAACACAAGTGCATGAGATTATGGGTTTGAAATGGAACAAGAGGAAAAACACAGGTTGTCATTTGCATTCTGGAAACACCAGGCAGCACAATGAGAGGGGTGGGGAAAGACGTCCCAGGGGCAAGAGCACCTCCTTCCCACCTGCTCCCATAGCTGCAATCTGTCCTGTGGGCCAAGTGATTTAAGTGGTGAAGATGCAGGAAATGCAGCACAGGAGGGATCCTGAAGACCACTGGAGGTGAGGAAGCTGAGGCCTGAGGGACAAGGTAACAGAGCTCACTGGTCTCCCAAGTCCCACAACAGAGGTCCTTTCCAGGCACTGCACTGCCCGCTCTGAGCCTGAATAGGGAATGACTGAAGTAGGGAGTAGGGGGCGAGGTCCCCACAAAGGAAGGGGACCTTCGAACCACCACACCCAGCAGAAGCGGGCCCGCAGGCCTGACCTACCTCTGATGGGAGGGTGGGTGGAGGGGAGCTTACAGAACCACCAGCAATCACCGGGGAAGGAGAGGGAGGGCCAGGCCTGCCCTGGGCTTGGCATTTGGCAGGGGGACTGCAGAGGGAAGGAGAAGCAGACTCCAGCAGAGAGGGACTGGCCACAGGTCCTCTGAGTCACACCCTCTGCCACTC